TGTAGTCTAATCGCTGTTGCTTCTATCTGTCTGCCTTCATCGATCCCCCTCAATGCCAATCTCTAGACTGAACTTCGTCTCCAAGAAAAGTGGAAAGGAAGAAAATTGTTTCTGTTTGTCTATTTCTGTGTATTCCCTCCAATTGGTTCCCCCCTAAACAAGAGCCGAGAGAGCTCATTTAATAGAAAAAGTATCTGCCACGTGTCGCATGATCACTTGTCGTTGCTGAGGCTGAAACTAGCGTGCTTCTTTATGATTGGTGGAGTTTTGAGGCCGATCGTGTGACCTCCACCTTGCTTGGCCGGTTCTGACTTCTGGCTTCTGACTGGTCAGAGGGTTGGCACACAATTCAGTGCTAGTTGGGCCGATGGATAAGGCTGGTTTATGGTTGGTATTCGGACCGAACTGGCCGAGTTGGGCCTGTTGGCTTTAGGCCGAGTTGGCCCCGAATTGCTTTATCTGCTGGCCGATTGGGTCTCTGGTTTTGGGTTAGAAACTGGGCTCGAGTGACAGCCAATTTTGGGCTTAAAAATCTGGAATTGGACTAATTGGTCTCTTCTCATTTTTTCAGGTAACTGGGCTTGGTTGACTAAGAAAGCTGGGCTAGTGGACCAGATTCATGCCTCAAGGCACAAATATTTCTCTCTTTGTAATTGTATTTGTACAAATCAAATTGCGTGGCACAAATTTTGTGTCATTACCCAAGTTGTACAATGTATCAACTTTGAATATTTGGTAATAGAGCTCATTCCACTATTCAATTTGCCCCATTTCAAAATCCAATTCCAAACTCGAGAGACAAAATTTGCACTATAGTCACTCTTTCATCCAACCGAGAATTTATAATTTAAGATTTGCCACTGCTATTCTTAACTTAAACCGATCCTATCTTAACTAATTAACTAATTATGCCCTAGAATCGACTAGGAGCAAATTTGGTAGTTGTTGGTTCATATTGACTTGCAACTGCTAGTCTCAACCAAACTATCTTCAGCTTCCTTTTTAAATATAACCGTAGTTCGATGTTACAAAAATTATTTCCAGTAAAATAATTATTCCGGACAAAATGTGGTGTCTACATCTTCAATTGTTTAATTTTCAGCTCAATATTGGGACACAAAGGACCACTCCATTTTTTCACAAAGCGTCGTCTCTTAGCATACATCAACATTAACTTTCTTCTAATACCCTCCCACATGCTAATAGGAGCCATATCCCTCTCATCCATTATGGTATCATTCCAACTTTCAACCATGTTGCTAGTAAGCACATCAGAAGAAACAAGAGTGAGAAAGTGAGACCTTGTCCAATGGAAGAATGGCTTGTTAAGAAGCCATTCGTAGGCGTCCTTGTTGTAGTTTGATATTTCTTGCATAGCAGTGTGAAATTCAGGCACGGTTGTAGCTCTAGCAGCTGTCCAGAACAGATCCTTCATCATTTGGGAGGCTCCACATGCACCTTGTAGGTTTGTGTACAAGTGACGACCACAATGCCTCTTCTCACAGTTAGGGAGGGTGTCATCTAGTGCTGGAATAAGACCCTGTGTATGAAAAATAAACACCCTATTAGTTTGCCATCATGATACAAAATAAAACATACAAAATAAAACGTGAGTAAATCTTACCTTCTGTTTGTCTGACATGAACGTCCAGCCGGGATTATCCACTATGTCAAGATCGAACCTCAGTAGTTCAAGGAACCAAGTCCAGTTCTCCTTATTCTCCACTTCAACGTGAGCAAAGGCAACCGGAAAGTATTGCTCATTTGCATCGATGCCCACCGCAGAAAGAAGTTGACCACCATATTCGTGCTTCAACCAACACCCATCGATGCACAAAATCTGTCTACAGCCTGCCCGGAACCCTTTCTTCGATGCTTCAAAGCAAACATACATACGGTGAAAAGTCTGGTATCTCTGCTCAACAACAACAGTTGAGTTGGGGTTGCTCCTTCGTAGCTCTTTTGCATAATGATAGAGGCTTCGAAATTGTTCTTTGTACGTCCCACGCACCAAATCAGTTGCTGTCTTCTTGATCCTATATGCCTTCATATCTCCAACCTCTTCCTTGTAGTCTTCTTTCATTATTTGTTTCAACAAGTTTTTGCTCATTTTCTGATCGGCTGCCATCTTTGTTGACAGCTTGTTTCCCAAGAACTTGGCGGTTGCAAACTTGTTGTTGAAAGTCAGACTACAATCTCTTGAATGCTCCAATTTGCACCTTGTGATTTGTACAAAATCTGCATGCTCTTTCTTGGATGCCCAAATGTACCACTCACAAGGTGCCTGACACACTGCTTGTAGCCTCTTTCGATCATTCTTCTTGAAAGAGATTGGTCGATGCTCAATAAAAGAGTGTGTCTTTATCGCCTCAACCAACAAATTCTTGCTACTGAATTTTTGATCAAGTGAGAACTTTGGGTTCTCCATGTCTCGATCCACACGAAACTCAGACACATGTGCATCATCGGAGTCATCCTCTGAACTGTGAACAGTTCTACGATCATCAGAGTCGACAAAATCCGACTCTTCTTCTACGTCATCTTCCATCTCATTTTCTCCGTCTCGACCAATAATTCTGCCCAAGTCAGCTTCTACATCCATATTGCAATTCTCCTCAAATTCTTCATTGTCATGATCAGTGCTGGCCATTTCAAAATTACCCTCGTAGTCACTGTCATCGTCATCTTCATCTTCATCTTCGTCTGCCTTGTAGTCCTCATCATCTTCATCGGAAGCACCACAATGTAAGGCCTCCTTTCTCGAACAGCCACCTGCATCTTCATCCACATCACTACTAAAAAGATCCTCCACTTCATTCTCACCAATAGCAAACAGCTCAATGATTCGAGGAGGATTATTAGCTGCTACAGCCATGTCCAGCAAGTCCCTATCGTTAGAAATCTCCGTCATTGACTCACTGGTGAGAGCTTTCCAATAGAATTTTGGATTTTGAATCTTCCCACCACACTTCTCATATATGTCAGCCAAGTCCAGGAGAGACAACTCATCGATGTCGGCATAGTCATAGAACACAGATTCTTTCTCCTTCAAGAAGTGTTTGCCACTCTTCTTCTTCAACTCGTGGTCTACGTGAACTTCAAACGAAAACTCACCACTGCATGGACCTGTTGGTTACAAACAAATTGTTGGTGAGCAGTAGGTAAGAAAGTGAATGCGAGACAGATGTGGGTTAAAAGCATAAAGACAAAATTGAAAGCGATGGAACTTACGATACTTGGGTAGGGAACCATTTGGGGGCCGCACATGACCCACCATGATTCTCGATGAAGAGTCGGACAACCTGGAAAGGAACAACACCAACTTGCAATTTAAGTTTAAAGAATCAAACATCCACCTGGAAAAACTCGAAGCTGTCCTTTTCCCTTTCGTTTTGTTTATAATAAACCTACTGAACCCTAAACAAACTCCAACCAAAACAAACTCCATTAACAGAATAGGTACCTTCAGATATGCTCCTTTGTTGCACGCCAACCCCCGAAAAGAAGAGTAACGAGAATCGGCAGCAAACTTCAATAGATGGATTTAGGGTTTCACTTTTCTCCATCCATCTCAGCATACAATCGCAGCAAACTTGTGACGCCTGGGAAACCGAACGAAAGAGAAGAAGAGAAGAAGAGAAGAGAAGAAGAAACGGCCGGCGGAAGACAGATTCAAAGAGGAGGAAAATCAATCACTCTTCCCCTGCTCTGGAAATTCGAACGAGAGGAAGAAGAAAGGGAGATGACGAGGGCCTTTCGTTTCTTCTCCCCTTATCCAATCTATTTTAATTTTTGTTACTTAATTGGGTTGGGCAAATGGGTCGGGTTTATAGGTCAATGGTCGGGGTTTTCCAGAGGGTACGGGTCGGGTGTGTTGTTCTCAATTAAAGCCTCTGACTCAGCATTCCGTGTTCCAGCTTGGCACCCCGTTTGCCACGTCAGCAAAAGTATAACGGCGTTGACGGTGTGTAACGGCGAGTGACCAATAATGACATAAAGGTGTATTATCAGTGGCTGAATTGAAGCGAAATGGATTCGGGTGGCTAACGTGTTACAAAAGTGTAATATGGGTGACCAAACTTGCAATTCACCCAAACAAAATGTGACAAACAAAACACATATATAAAAAAAAAAAAAAAAGCAAGAAAGACAAAGAAAATCACTTAACCTTTCTCTTCTCCCTTTCGTGTGTATCAAGTGGGGTAAAAAGGGATGTGGGATGGTTGTGGTAAAAAAAAAGAAGTGATTCCCTTAGTTTATTTAAGCAATGGAAAACGAGAAAGAAAACCAACCTGACCATATCATCTTTCACCTGTGAATAGAGAGGACGGACGAAGTGGTTTGCTAGCTTGTGTGTGGGGCTATTAACGATTTGAGTTGATTCGTCGAGGTTTGTATCGTTCGAGTTCGACTCATTAAAATAATTCCAAATTCGAATTTGACTTGAGTTTGACACGCGAGATTGTTTACAAAAATAAAAGCTCACGAATGACGAATATATAACTATCTAGAAAATACCACGCTCTATTAGTATATTTTCAACAATTCAATTTAATGTCATGTTTGTATAAATTGTAAATCCAACTATTACCGAAACAGTTGTCATACCCAATTTTCTTAAGTCTAAGGAGATTGATAAGTTAATTATATGGTGCTAATTACACTACTAGTCTCAAGTTAATACATTGATTATTCTCAAACCACACAATACGTTCACCTTGATTTAAGGATATAAATCCTTATTTAACACAAATACATCTTTTTATTCACTCATCTTGGCCATATGCCAATGACTAGCCATTACGTATCTCCAAAACAGTGCAACAAAACCACAAAGAGCTGCAAGAACACAACCCAACAGAAACAAACAAAAACAAACAAACAACAACAGGAACAGGAACTGAAACACACACACAGATAATCACTTCCACAGAGGATATGTACATCCATTATTCACTTGGAATATACACACACACTCCAGCTTCTATTACAGCTGGTTTTCACTTCCTGGGTTCATCTTCATCGTTGAGCTTGATGATGATTTTGATGGCTTCTGGATCTTCCAGATACTTCTCCAGCATTGTGTATATGGCTTCACTGCCGTTTCGGATGTCCACTTGGTACCCGCACTCCTTGGTCTTCTCGTCGTACGCCAGAATCCTGTTGATCCCGGCCTTAATATCCTGTATATTCATGCATCCATTCAAAAACTAGGGTTAGACTACCGTTAATAATTAACCATGTGCTTCATAATTAAATCGAGATCCTTACAGAAGACCTCTCTGTCACATAAGGGCATGATACCGGTTAATTCCAATAACTCGCGAGTTGTTGAGACCAACTGGTTATTGACATGATATCAGAGCTTTTTTTTTTTTTTGCAACGAGGGATCTTATATTTGAATCCTAATACTAATATGAAAAATAACTAACTTTTAACGACTATGATAAAAAAAACCATAACTCTCCCAATTACATAACGAATATCAGTAAAAGTAGTTAAGCCAGAATACCGGTTGTTTGGCCTTCTCCAACACAAAGGGGAGGTCGGACTTGATTTTGACCCTGCCATATATGCACCCGGTCATCTTGTTTCCGAACAGGAACTTCGAGAAATCCAACTTCAGCTTGTCGTCGGGGAAGATTCCTGCTCCACAAATTACTGTTTCGGCTTTGCCCTGATTGATCCGTCAATAGTTACCGTCAGTTAAAAAAGTGACAGAATTTGAGGACAGTAATATTAAAGAGTGAAACAATATTATGTTGATTTAGTGTTATAAGATTACCGGGAGAGCAGATTTCACGGCTTCGTTCATTAGGGCGTCGGAGCCGGAAGCTTCGATGCAGCAATCCGCACCCTTGCCGCCGGTCAGCTCCATCACTTTGTCGGAGACAGTCATCGTACCCAACCCCTCGGAGTTGATGAAATCGGTCGCCCCTAAAGACAGTGCCACTTGTCTCTTCCGCTCGTTCTTATCTATCCCGATGATCTTCTTCGCTCCAAGATCCTTCGCTGCTATCACAGACTGATCGAATACGGTACAAGAAAGTGGTTAATTATCATACATGCATGACGGATCTCTCTCCAATAATTCGAGTTATTGGGAACATTGGTTTCTGACATGTTACTAGAGCTCGTTCACGTGTTTTAAGTCCTTAAGATCCTAGTATTAACGGTTGTATTTAAAAAAAAAAAGCACGTGACATCTGATGGGCGCATGTACAAATTTCAATTCTATCAACTCAAGTTATATGTAAATCAGTTGGTTTATACATCAGAGCTGATTTGTATTTAAGGTCATGTGTTTAACTTCTGACGACCTTCAATATTAAATGTTGAAATTAAAAAAAAACATATGGTATGATAAATCTGTGCAGATTTCAATTTTTTTTCATTTTACGAAGAGTGTAAGAAGGTGATTAATATCATAAATGGCCTGGCTCGCTTACCGAGAGACCAACAGAGCCGGTGCCATAGACGGCGACGGTGTCTCCTGGCCGGACGCGGCCTTCGAGCCAGGCGGCGCCGTAGCCGGTGGTGAAGGCGCAGGACAGGATGCAGCCGTGCGCCGAAGGGAAGTCGTAGTCGTTGAGCTTGACGGCGTAGTTGGAGTCGACGACCATGTACTGTGTCCACGTGGAGCAGGCGAGGAAGTAGTATAGAGAAACTGCTTCTTGCCGTTCTCGTCGACGAAAGAGAACCTGGAGCTGCCGTCGGGCTCCATCGGCGGGTCGTTGGCGCCGTACTTCTGGCAGACGTTGGTCCGGCCCGATCTGCAGCTGCTGCATTCCCCGCACTCGCCGTACGTCGGAGCGATTACCATGTCGCCGACGTCGAAACCTTTCACTTCCGGTCCCAAGCTCTCCACAATTCTTTTCGTAGAAAATAAAATTTGGGAGGAAGAGGAAAAAAAAAACACACACATTAATTTATATATATTGTTACGTTGGTTTAGCAAGTGGTATGCGGTCTGATCGATTGTACAATCAGTTTATATCATTTTATACTCTTTTCCTACGTACAGTATCCACGATCCCCGAACCAGCCAGGGTGTCGAGTACAGTGGCACGATAACTTGCACCTAGCCTTCCCGCCACCAGTTTATATCATTTTATGCCGGTTTTAGTAAAATATGGAGGAAAGTGGAACATACAATATTTCGAACAAAATGTAAAACACTCGTACTTTAATACAAGCAAACGTCCAAAGTTTATAATTGAATCCAACGAACAACATAAACATCTCAACATTCATAATTGAATCCATTTTTTATTGTTAATTGAATTCATTAAAACGCAGTCATTTTGTTTAAAAGGTCCAAAATTGATCATAATGATCATACCAACAGCATTCCAACCCAATTTTGTAACTAAGTGTTGGTTGTACCGTACTGCATGTCACCAATCCTTTCATATAGTCCATCCTTCTATAGAATTCATGGGTCCATCAGTACATTTATATATTCCATAATGAACTTTATATTTTGAATTATCTCGAATTTCATGCTGAATTTTATATTCCGTGTGTCTTATAATTAATTGATAGCTAGCATTTCTGTAAATATTTAAAGAATTAGAGAACAAAAATTCTAGCTAAATTATGGTCTTACCCAACACCTTCATGCCCCAGAACTTTCGGGAAATGATATGGCTGCACATATACATATCAAACAAAGAGGATATGTTATTAGACAATCATTTGAATTTTGAGGAAAGCTTTGCATATAGATTATGTAAATATTAAAGGGTATCTTCTATATAGATTATATATACCTTGGTCATGAACCCCCTGATGTTTGAAATATCGGTGTGGCAGATACCGGCGGACAACATCTTGACTCTGATCTCCGTGTCTTGTGGCACATCTACCTGTATGTCCATCACTTCAATTACATCCCTGTAGGATTGCCCTAGCTTTTTCACTTCCTTACACACCACCGCTGCACATACACATAATACGTAACGTGAGAAATCGTTACGAAAGTCCTATACAATGCGTCTATCTTATGTAAATATGGTGGGTACGTATACCCTTGCAAGTGATAACGCTGGAAGGTAGGGAACCCATTGGCTACTCTCAACACAATCAGCTTATTCTTGGCTATATAAATATGTTTTGAGTGTAGAGCAACAGTACTGCTGCAATCTTTGTGTGGTTTGGTGAAATGAAGTTGCAGCTCTGGATCAGTTTATATAATAACTAGAAATCAACAGCGCTTTTGGTGCGGGCCAATGTAATTAGGGGAAATGTGGGAGGATCATTAGCGTTCAATAGGTAGGAATTGGAAAAAAAGAACAATAATATGAATATCATATATTTCTTTTACAATTTTTTACTGTTGCTCTTTGAGCACTCTTATTTTATTTGTCTTGTTTTTTTTTTTCCACAAAATTTTGAGAAGCATATTAAAATAACGCATGAAATAACGATTTATAATGGGTTTTCATCAAAATGAGGATAAGAGCATTGAAGAAGGTTCTAGCAATGGCATTGCAAACTTTATGACTCTCTTGTTCCAATCATTGTTCTTAAATAAAAAAGTGTGTAGAGAAAGAACATGAAATAACGGGCATAAAAGATCAAAGAAAATTTATGGATAATCAACAATTGGTTATATGTTTGGGACTGAATGTCATGCTCGATCAAGAAGAACATTAGGAGAAAGCATAAAACGTCATGTTGTAGAGAAGAGTTGGATCATCGTTTATATGCATGTTTACTAACTTGTGCCGTTCCTTTATATTATATGTTGGTTTGCGTGATTGGGTGAACTAATGAGTTGAAAGAATAATTAGTTTGAAAATCATAAAAAAATATATTAACACACAGTGGTGCATTTGTTTTATATGGTAGGCTTCATTATTGTTCACAGATTGAGTAGTAAGTGAGCATAATTCGACGCAAAAAATAAAATAAAAATCAAATTAATGTTAAATGGTTTCTTAAATTATTAATGAATTAGTGTATTTATGAATAATATAATTATATTGGTTGTTTCTATTAGCTGGTTGATTACCAAAATAAATAAAAGTGGTGTAACTTGGTAAAACTCTAAGGCGACAGTGATGTGACTTAAGCTTTATATATATATATATATATATTTATTAATTAACAATAATAAAAAGAAACTTTTCCCAAAATTGGATTTTAGCGTCGAGTTTTTAGGTCTGAACTTGGCTTTAAGACATTGCCAATAAGTCAATATTGCAACGCGGCGTGAAATTAACGAGAGAATTAATTGGTGGTTCGGTGTTAGATTTTGATATTGTTGATATGGGCGGAGCTAGTTTATATTGTTCTTGTTAGGATAGTGGTAATAAGTATGAGAGGAAAAAATACTTCATATATATGCGAATCCAACACCATAACTTATTACTTGTTTAATAATTGGAAAAAAGTAATTAGTTTTTTGGCGTAATATAGTGATATTTTGACACTGCATCATAACTCATTACTTGTTTAATAATTGACAAAAAAATAATTATTATTTTGTTGGTTCTATTAATGATGATACTATTATTCAACAACAACTTGTTGTGTATTATCATGATGTTATGGCTAATGAGAGATTTTCTCTGGATTGAAAGGAAGTGATGAATTATCTCGAGTAATGGTGGAGACAAAAGTGCATCAGTCATATTTGCAAATTTATTTGCTTCTGAAGTTATTTTTTATTCTACCAGTTTCAAGTGTACGTGTAGAAGGAGCATTTTTAGCTTGAGCTATATTAAGATCACGCTTCAAAATTGAACTGGCGATTAGTTTACTAATGATTGTTGAGTGGAATACATTGAAAGAGACTTACTTAAAAGTGTAGACAACGAATTTATTTTTCATTTCTTTCAGAATATGCAAATTCGTCATTGCTGTTTATGCAAACAATAATTGTATTAGTAAGTTATTTTTGTATCTCTGAATGAATTATTTGTATATTATTAGTTTTAATTATATTTGTTAAATATTTATTAATTAAATATTTATATACTTATATTCTGAAAGAGGACAAAGGTAGTTTCAAATCCATCACTCATTGTTGATCCCAAGTTTAGAGAAGTGTGTTTCAATATGTTTGAGGTTCAGTGAGCATTGATTTTTTTTTTTATCATCGTCTGCCATAAGTTTTCGAGATGAACACCCACAAACAGGACCTGCGATTGTGGTCAGCGAGGACCTACTCCAAAGCTCAAGTCGGTGTTTAAGAGGAGACTGCCCGGGAGTGGCGTATTGAACCAACTCTAGATTCAACCCGAAAATGAACTTAAAAAAAAGTATAAATGAGAGTCTTGCTTGCTCCTGACGTGGGTTGTGCATCCTTTATTAACTGTATATAACGAATAACACGATAACATTACATTTATCTACCAACCAACTTATTTGAGTACAATGGTTGGTTAAATGGTTAGTATAAATAAAATGTTACAACAAACACATACAAAATTAAACAAGAAAAACAGAGAAAATCACTTACCTTTCTCTTCTCCATTTCACGTGTATCAAGTGGCCTAAAAAAAAGGATGTGGGAAAAAAGAAAGTGATGACACCTAGCTTCACTAATAGAGGTTAATTATTGGAGGAAAAGGAGAAGCTTTACTTGCTTGGCTTCCCCACGCCACGTGTAAGTGAATGGGAAAATGAGTCAGCAAGAGGATCTTCTCTTCTGTAAGCAGTGGACGTGGCTGCGTTACGATTTGTTTTGGCTGTAGATGGTGGAGAATGATATGCCTCCATTGAAGGAAACAGGAGAAAGGAAGAAAAGAAGAATGATGAACTCTAGAAAGGTAGCTATGATTAGGGCGGTAAATGAGTCAAACTGGTTATAAGTGGTTTGACGTTGTTATTCGGGAAAAACTTGTTTGTAACTCGACTTGTTAATAAACGAGTCGAATTTGAGTTCATCCTTGATCAGCACGAGTGAGTGGTTCATTGAGTACAACTAGCGAGCTGGCTCGTTTTCGTGTGAATGAGATGGCTCGATAGTGTGGTCAGCAAGCCGTTTCGACTTGCGACTTATGAGCGAATCAATATATGTAGCTTATGATGTGGCTTATTAATAATTCATACATTTATTAAATTAAACATATCTCATAATATATAATGTGTTTAAAACTTTGGATATGTGATCAAATAGATCACATTTATAATTTGAAAAAGAAATTATGTACATAGACTTATAAATGAGCCGAACTCGAGCTCTCGTTTCTTAACTAGTCAAGCTCATGCAAAAGCAGAACTCAGTTTAACTTGCTCGTTAAGAAACAAATCGAGGTCAAGATAGAAATGAAATTTGGTGAGCTGTGAACTTGCTGTGCTCTTTTCCATCACTTTCGATTTATATGGACACATAAGTCAAACACTGCAGTAGAAAGGGGGGAAAAGTACAGATTGATAGGTGAATGGGCCTTAATGTTGTCGTAAAGCCCATTGTATGGGCTTCATCACCTTCAGCCCATTCATTTATAACCGATGGGCCAATACTACGGTGCCGCTATTAAAAGTGCGGCATCGGTGACGCTGTATTCTATTGGGCCACATGGCTGTGACGTGGCACCAACCAAGTCTATTAAATCTAACTTTAAACCCGGTGGCCATAAATATTGGACCCAACCGCTGCTACCCAAACAGACGGAACAGGACTTACGTCCCCGTTATTGCGCTTGTTATTTTGTGTATAATTAATTTAAAATTGGTGTAACTGTTGAGCGTCTTTGTTATTCGGCAGAAACGGGAGAGAAGAAACCAAAACACATGGTCGTCTCCTCGATCTCCTTCTCCGACTAACTGTCTAACAACACTTCCGACGACTTCACCGTGGTCGATCCCGGCTCCACAAAATTACCTTGCCATGTCCCGCAACATTTATCATGTAAACAGAGGCCAAGGAAGGCTTCGTCTTGACGGACCTCTGTCTTCATCCCAAAAGAATAGAGTCGCCTTCCTGTGCGTCGTCCCCCTGTGGCCTTCCTGTTCGACTCGTCGATACAAATTCCTAAATGTGTGGAGCGACTTACCCACATAATGAAAAGTCTTGCATGTAATTCGAGACTTCGAGTATTAGGTGTTCGAGGGAGTATGTGTTTTCCGGCGAGGGATGCTGGGAGGTTCAACGTGTCGTTTAATTTCTCTTTTGCCTCTGAACGTTGTGAGTCAGGGATGCTGGGAGGCTCGATTCTGTGTTGTTTCTTTCTCGTTCTAGGTTCAGCGAGGAGCAGGGGAAGTGGAGCATATGGCCATGTTCTGCTGATGTGTTCTCTTCCCTCTTTCAGTTTATGGTTTTGTTTCTTATGTGTAATGGAGATCGAGGGGTGTAATTTGTAGTAGGATCGATGCTGCTATTTGCAATTTGGCGGGTATTTTGGGTTGTGCATATTTGGGTTGAATTGTTGAGTTTTAGTTTGTGACTTGGTAGTTCTTGTCGTGATCTTGCCCTTTTGGGGATTGTTTTAACTTTATTGGTGGTCTGTCTGGCATAGTTAGTAAAATACGGTACGGGAATGTTACGTATAAAATACGTACGGGTATTTTACTTCGTCTGTATGCTAATGTTACGTTTAATAGTACGTTAATTTTCATAAATATAGAAAAATTAATCATTTTAAAAATAAATAAATATATAAATAATAGTAAAGTTAGTAATTTAATTCATTAAATACGGATATTAAACGTGTTATACGGGTTTTATACGTGTTTAATACGGGAGCCATCAAATGAACGGACAAAAATGAAACGGCTTGACAATAATACGGATACGGAAGTTTTAAACGGATAAAGTACGTACGGGTACATATACGTGTATTAAACGGAGTATTTACTAACTATGCTGTCTGGTTTGTTACTCCTCAGTTGTATTGTATATTTTCTGATTTGTCTTTCTTTTGAATTGTTTGTTCTGCCGTAGTGTTCTTGGATTTTTGGAATAGTTAACTGTTTGGTATATGGGAAAGTATATCGATTTTAGATTGAAGTTTCTCTCCATTACATCCTTAATTAAACAAGGAGGCAGTGGCAAATCCAGTCCGAGCACCAAGAATTACGTACATTCTGGATTTTCCTATTAGAACATCACCATCTTCTGTCTTACCATCTCTTTTTGATCCCTGCCAAGCGAAAGCAATCATAAAAGAAGATTAAGTATGCAAGTAACAACAGAACTTTCAAAAAAAATGAAGAAATTTCTCAAGGGTGTTCTCCAACTTCCCCTCATTAGAGACTGAATTATAACATTGATGAAATCAGTTCCCTGAAGCTTATTGATGCCCACCTGATAGCATAAGAACCAAGGCCACAGTTAAAAACACAGCTTCATCCTTTCATTTCATGTCTATGTTACCAGTCCAAGCTTGTAGATAAAATTAATTACTAGATTGGCAAGAAGTTCATAAACATCACAACTCCACCCTACCGAGAAACAAAGAACTAACCCATCACCGGAACCTAAAAGATGCAAACCCAAAAATAAGAAAGGAGAATCAGGGTACCTTACTTGGAGTTCGTTGTTCTCAGGGTAATGCGTCACATCTTACCATGATTAATGGGAAGGCGCTTTCAATTCGTCGGTGCCGATCACTGCTATGGTGAGGCGTTAATGGCAAGGGACGAATGAGAGTAGGATGTTAGGAGTAGGAGGTACTGCATGCTCCAGAGGCGGACAACGGACAATAACTCCTGGGATAGAGTCGTCGTATTAATTTTTTGCTCTCCCCAAATTGACCTTCTGACTTTTCCTCTGAGCACAAAGAGAGAAGACAAGGGAATGACGAAGACAACCAAGAAATTTACTGGAGGCGTTTGATACAGTCTGCATATTGGGTTGAAGACAGAGAAGTCGCCGGAAATGACAGTCCGGCGAAGGCACGCTGGATTCTGAGTTCGTGGTGCTTTTTACTCTTTTGCTTACGCGAGAAAAACAAATGAAGTTCTACCAGAATTAATAAAAATACTAAATACAAAACAAGGAGATGAGAGACGGAGTTAATAGGTGCTCCGTCACCTTAGGGGTGCTGGTTTGGCCCGACTCGGTCAGCTGGATGTGGGTTTGGATTTATTTAATGAATTCAGCCAGTGCCATGTCACAGCCATGTGTCCCAATAAAAAACAGCGTCATCGGTGCCGCACTTTTATTAGCGGCACCGTAGTATTGGCCATAACCGATGACCATTTTTTCTTCCATTTCTGAACATGGATCTTCTTCTCTTGCTGACAGAAAGCAATAGGCCCAACTGTCAATCACCGAAGCCCAGTGTGCTCGGCCTGCTGGCCAGTCCAATTATAGCTTGGCCGCCGTATCATCGTCGTCACGGGAAACAGTTTCCATTCCATTTTTGCCAGTTCAGACACTCTACGGGCGAATTCCACAACAATCTCCGACGCACAAATTACTCGGACACAAGGGGAAAATGTCGATTTCGCAGAAGCTCAGGATGTTCATCGTCCAGGAACCCGTGATAGCAGCCTCATGCATCATCGGCGGCATCGGTGAGTTTTTCGATCGCTCGTAACCCTAGAATCTGGACTCCGATTTCATCTTGGACTTGAATTTTTCACTTGCTAATTTCACGATTCGCTCTTTTTGAGGAGGTTCTAATTGTGTAGAACGAGTTCGTAGCTTTAACTTGCCTTTGTGACGGCTGATGTTTGTTCATGGAGGTTAGCTGGTAGTATTTCTGATCCTGTGATTGCGCAAGAGTTCGATTTGGTTTAGGCTTTTCTCCTACGCGATGTGATGTCGACTTTCAAATCTATCCCATTTCATTTGGCAAGTAGGGGGAGCTCCGGAATCATTAATCTTCCGGCGTTTGGGTTTACAACACTGATAATGGTCATAACTCATAAGCTACGATCGTCCATTTTTCTTAAGGTCGTATTAAGGGGAAGGGTGTTTTTGCGAGAATAGTATGAGACCATGGATCAAGAAGCTCTTTTGCAATGTGTTCTCTTTAATCTTTGGGTTGAGAAGGAGAATTAACAAACGTTTACATCAATGGATTGTGCTGTAGGGTCTAGTCAGTTAGTTTTTCGATGTCACCTTAAGCCACCGCACAGAAATGTGATAAGACTTCAAACCCTGGCAGATTATAACGAGAAATGTTGTCTAGTCGCCATTTTGTGTCATGGCTTCCAGCTGATTACGAAGAAGAGGTTTGTAGTGGCCTCTTTCTATGCAACAAGACTTTGGTAAGTGTAAATGTGACAATAGTGTTAAGAGGATTACCTGGAAAAGACCATTAGAACAGTTCTGAGGGCCTTGCTATTATGTTACCCTGCAGAAAATAAAGTGGTGGAGTTAAGTTAGAGAATCATTCGCCATAAGGACCTATCAATGCATTGCCTTTGGTGGAGTTAATGTTCAGGAAATTGATGGTGCTAGTTGGAATAGCAGCAATTGATGGTAGTTGTGGGCTGGCTGTTATCACAGCATCTAAACCTGCACATCATGCTGGTTATTTTTTCAGATAGTTTCTCTGCTTATGCTCGATACTGCTCGTTTTATTTTTTTTATATTAACATTTTCCATTTGAAGTATTTCAGGTCTTTTCCTTCCTGCATTTGTTAGGCCCATGCTAGACTCCTTCGAAGCAGGGAAGGAAGTATCTCCGCCTCCGTTGAGTGATGTGAGTATCAACTGTCATGCTATATGTTTCGCTTGTTCTCATTTGAACTTGTTTTTCTCTTCTATCTTGTTCTGTTCTGCTTCTACCTTTCCCGTCATTCATGTTACTAGTCTGAGAAAGGGCATATCTAAAAATGGCTTACTGTGTCTGTATGCTGATCTCCTGAATATAATAAAATTATGGGGAGGCATTCTAGCTAGTTTTCCTAAAAGTTACTGCTGCTAAGTTCGAAGTCAAAGACTCCTGTAGCTATAAATGGTGTTTGCGCGCTTCCAAAGCTTATTAGTCATTAGTATCATGATCATGAAATTCAGTAGTTAACTCGGCGGTGAATAGCATTGCAACAGAGGGCTGGAGTGTCGCCAAGTTGGAATGTTGCAAAGCCATTTATTGCCTGAGAAACTAATATGACAAAAATTTTGCAACTGTATTCTTGCATTTTCCTCTTTCTGAGCACTGATGTGCTGGCATTATTGTAGGTGGTCGCCGGCGTCACTGGTAAAAAGCAGTGATGAATCATTCGTTCAAAACAGGCAAAGAACTCGAGGATTGCGACCAAACCCTTGGAGCAGTATGGTTTAAGAACTAAGGATTTACCCTTTTTTTTTTTTGGATAACCTGCATATTCAGCCTAGCATTGGCAGTTTTTGGTGCATGATTTATGAATAAGAATGCCTAGACTGGAGATTTTCTGTGTGGAGTTTGCTTTTCCCAGTGATAGACTGGAAATGCTGGTTGGATTGCTCAACAATTGGTTTGAAGGTCAGCTCATTTCGAGTTAACATGTCTCTTATTATCAGAAAGGTGTAGTCTTTAGGTCATGGAGCCTTTGTTTCCCTACTTGAAATGTTAATTTCTACTTGAATAAGATTGGACTTCGCTATACTCTTGATTACTGTTATATATCTAGGCATATTGGGGAGGGAAGCCCACCCAAAAATTCGAATTTGGAATCTCGAGATTGAAAGTCGGTGAAAGTTTAATTATATGTTTGAAATTTTCACACGTCCATCTTACCCTTTCTTTTAGATCAACCCCTTAACATTGAGGATCATAATCCCTATAACTCAAAGTTACGTTATTGCGAGAAATTCAATTATAAATCTAATAGGCTGAAAGCTATAACCTAATAACCATTGATGAGACTGAAAACTAACATCCCACAAAGTTAAAAGTAAAGAACCAAAAGGGGATCACAATGGTGGGATCGATTGGAAGGAAGTCCACTAACTGACTTAAAAAACAACATTAATAATTGAAGTAATCACATTCTGATAATCAGTCTCCCACCCACTCACCATCTTCAATTAAACAATGTGTCCTTTAATCTTGATTAAGAACCAATGCACAATATACATTTCATCTCTGTTCAATTAAACAATGTGTCCTTTAATCTTGATTAAGAACCAATGCACAATATACATTTCATCTCTGTGGGGATCGAGAACATTAGGCTTTATGCCAAAATGTTTAATATTCCACGTGGACTCCAGATAGGAGAATATACACATGTCAATTAACCGCAATCTATAGCAGGCTGTAATCATTCATCACCATCTCTTTCCCTCTGCTTTTTTGCTTCCTCCTCATTGTTTTATTGGGAAGAAAGTTGATTTGACAAGATTCTCGATCGTCTTCAACATCACGATTAAAGAAAAATTGTGAGTGGAGGGGATGCTGGTTTTCTGGTTTTCTGATCATCTCTTGTGATGGCTGACATGACCCTTTTAAGGTTTTTTTCCTTTCATTCTCTCTTCCTACATGTGTAACTAACTCATTTTCTTATTGATCAGGTTCTTTTTCGAGAAAGCTGATCGAGGAATGAGTTGGTTGGGTGGGTTATCAGAAGTTGGAACCGATTTAGTTGTTATCATGAAAGTTATAAGGGGAGTTTAGTTTTTTAGATGAAAATGGTTGTAATGTAAGATAGTTAATTAGTTACGTTGTTCTTATACATATGAGATTGGATTTGTAATATTTTGTGTGTATGGATTCCGGCTAAGGTTCGTAGTATATGATAGATATGTAAACATCTTGCAAAACATGTCATCGAAATATATTAACTGAGGATGGCTTATATTTTGTCAATGTAAAGTATTTATGCAAAAATTGAAGAATATGATGTCTCGTATTCTTTACTTTATCCATAATAATTGTAGCTAGTTACTTCACAATCAAAGTGACATATATCAGAGCACGCGGTTTAAACAAAATGCTTCGTCTTTAGTTCGTTTGATGAAGAGATTGCAACGGGTAAAAGGTTCTACATAAAGATCTCATTTTCAACACACAAGTAGTTAGAGGAGTTTTGGGTATTGTAACATATGTGCCCGCATAAGTCTAGTTGAGTATTGTAACATATGACTCAAAAACGAAGTAGTTCAAGGATCGATTAAAACACAAACCCAAAAGCCAAAAAGAAGGGAAAGAGCCCAAACTCTCCATAGTGTCATAAAATGGAAATGTTTAAGGATTCCATGTGTGTGGAAATGTGGAGGAATGTGAGATCGATTAGTGGACACACGATCCGAGTCAGCAAGCAATTAGAGAAGAGCTAATTAAGCTAACTAAGCTAACTAATTACAGTAGCTTTTTCCACGTGCAGTGCAAACTCTCTGCCAACTCCTTTCCTGGAACCAATCAGTTCCCAACATTTGATACATCTTTGTGTTTATGTTGCTGACCAAACATATACCTTCATATACATCTTTAATTAGATTCTTCATTTGTCGGGGGGGGGGAAAGGCCCTTTTCTACTGTCTCTTTATCTCTTTAATTGTCCTTTTTCATGTTCCATTCATCTGTTCTTTGCCTCTTAATCTATGCTTATTCACTGAAGTGGGTACTGTTGTTTACATTACATCGAGAATAATATGATGTATGTTAACTAGTTCATGTACATGAGAGAACATATTTACTATGTCGAGGACATAGTACATTTAACGAATGGGTGATATGGTTTATATATGCATCTTTTTATAGAGTAAAACAGAAAAGCCAAAAATACAATCCGAACTGGAAAGGAAAAGAATAAGGACAAGACAAGAATATAAAAAATCGAAGTGTAAAAGCTCGTACCCAAGCCTCCAAACCAGAAGTTTTGTCCCTCGATCTCGACTCGCTGATCGGAGAACAAAAATCTTATGACTCTCGGTCAACAACAAATAAAATTATTCACAGAAATTGAGAATCAACGTTTCGAAGGTGACCTGGACTGACTCACAACATAAAGTTGACTAGCCTAACTTAATTTCCAAGTCCAAATATGAGCACTGAAATTCAAAAACAACCAAGTATTGTGATCAGCATTCTAATCTCGAGGAATTAATAATCTAGTGATACAAAAATGTAACATGAACATATATAACTCTAACTTACAGACCGTTTGGTACCAAATAAATCAAGATTTCATTTCATTGTAAAATGAATTACCTTGTAGAATTCATTGTCAAATGAAATCTTATGTTTGGTATATTATTTTCAAATTTTTAGAAATAAAATGAAGTGTCGTGTAGAATTCATTGTCAAATAAATTCTTGTGTTTGGTATGTCACCATATGTATAAGTAATTTAGTTAATAAAAGAGGATAATCATGTCATTCTATTATAATTAGTAAATACTTGGGGAATTCATTTGGAAATTCCATCTCAATTCTTTGAAATTGCTATAACTAGTTCCAATTCCGTAGAATTCAACTTTTAGAATTGAAAATGAAATCTTTTAATACCAAACACAAAAATATTTCACTTCAAAATGAATTTCTCAAAACTTATAGAATTCATTTATACCAAACGATATGTAAGAAAACAACATTCACCCACTAAATGTCTAAATATTGGGGAATCAACATTCACCCACTAAGAAAACAATAAATTGTAGAGAACCAATCGGATAAAAAAATGTTTTACCTTCAAATATTATATTGGGGAAATCTCCAACATGAAACCTAGTAAAGATTTCTATGTTCTCCACAAATCACAGCTCAGATTTCTTAGATGCTTTCTCTTTTCTTTTCAGGTTATTCCCATGGTCTCCTTTTAACTAGAATAATAACAAAAGAATTGTTGACTGCAAAAATCATGGAGGCAAAAAAACTAGTTTCCAAGATACCATTTTTATCATTAAAGATGTAATCTCTATTCATATGGACCAATCAACTCCTGGCAGCCACCAAATAGAATACACTCGTTAAAACATTTCAAATACTAACAAATTAGGGTTAAAAGTGATTAAGCAAACGACTGAGAGAAATGGTTCAAATAATAAGATATAAAATTGGGGGCGGTATGCTCTTAGGTTCAGGTTTGATAGTTTATCATTGCGAAATTAATATACTAGTAACTATTGATAAGATTGTGATTTTGAATCATTCGCTTTTTATGAATTTGGTGGGTATTTCTTGTCAAAAATCAATTGGTTCTAATATATCGAGTTGTCGAAAGAGGTTCAGCTATGGATTATACAGTTATACAATTTACTAACACATGATCTCAAACGAAAACAAACTCACTGAATTGAAGCTTGCACGAATCCAAATACTTTATTTCCTTTTTCATTCTTCTTTGGCACATACGGTTGAGATCGATCGGAGGTATTTGGCCCCCAATAGAGATCGGGGTTTTGAGATCCTTGGGAAATCCCTCTTCTTAATACCCTCATTCTCCTTTCATCCGGAGCTCCCGTAACTTGGGCTCATCTTGCTATACTCACGCGAAGGGGGGGGGGGGGGGGGGAGAGCAGTATATGCTTTACAGTAGTTACCATTTTACTGGCTTTCAAGGAATAGAACATTAATCGGAACTTGTCGTGATTCAAATCTAAGTATAAGATCTCTCATTTGAGAACATGTTAAGAACCAATCGGTCACAATAACTCAGACGGGTGAAGCAAAAAGGTTAAGAGTTAAAGAGAGTGGCAGGAGCAAGTTGTGGGGGCACAACCACAGCCAGCCAGCTATTCATCACAATATATTCGATGGAAAGAGAATCTGTGGTGTACATGTTTCACTGTGCGTGGCCATTTGTAGGAAATTAAAGGGGGGATCGATGCTCGTTATTACATATAAAAAGCTCGAGAGGACGGCATTGAAGAGAGGCAAAGAAAGATATAGTTTTCGAGAGAGAGGAGTTTTCTTTTTTAGCTGAAGAAGATCTGAACTTGCAAAACAACCTCGAAGCTAGTCCATACTAGTGGGAGGTTGGTTTTTGCTCGAGCAAAAAACTTCCACCTTTGTTTCCTGATTTGGTCCCCCGTTGTTTTGGGCTTCGATCAATTAGGTCCAATATTATCCAAAAGTTTTGTGAAGCTTAATCAGCTAGGAAATTTTTTTTTTTTTTTCGTTTGTGAAGAGAGAGAGAGAGAGAGAGAGCTATGGCGAGAGGGAAAGTTCAGATGAAGAGGATCGAGAATCCGGTGCACCGGCAGGTGACCTTCTGCAAGCGCCGGGCAGGGCTGCTGAAGAAGGCGAAGGAGCTGTCTGTGCTTTGTGATGCTGAGATTGGTGTCCTCATTTTCTCTGCCCATGGAAAGCACTATGAACTTGCCACCAAAGGGTACTTTTGTCCTTTCCCTTAAACTCTCTCTCTCTCTCTAGATCTCACTCTATATATTTGTATATGTATTGCTATGAAATACTATACTTCATCATCATGGTAGAAGTCTTGAACTAGTTTTGATTAGAGGAGATGTGTGATTGGGGTTGGGTATTTATAGTTTCGGTTTGACTCTTTAGGGAATGTTCTAGACATTTTAAGTATTTGTTTCGAAATTAAGTGAAAGAAAATAAAAAAACCGATCGAGTTACGAGAAGTTGAAAGCTAACATTAGGAAAATATATGCATTACTATCTTGAATACTGCGGTCGGATACTCGTGTTATAAATTTTCCCATGAAGAATGAAAAAACAGGAATTACTGCTACAACTGCCTTAATTTTTAGAATTTTCAAATCTAAGCAAACTTCGACTTTCTAGGTGTGTGTACATAGAAGTTAACCCTAAAAAAGGGGGGTTTGAATATCTCATTTACAGATTTATGGAATAAGCATAAGAAAATATGTTTGAATCCGATACGTTAATATTCGTACATAACCATATCATGCTTCAAATTTAGTTCATCAAAATCCTTTACCACAACAATGTGTAAATTATAAAACCCTCAATTCAAGTCCATTATTTGGGACGTTGATAATTAAACTTGGATCTCATTTTATATATAATTAGAAACAATGTATAATCCACCTTTGCCACAAAACCACTAGCTAGCCTTCTATTTTTCAACCATTTCACACTCGTGTAACAAGTAAAAAGTAATAGCATAGATGATTTGTTTTTCAATTTATTTATGTAGACATAACGTAAATGGTAGAAGGGAACACGCGTCACGTATACATGCATGCAAAGTTGACGACGAATTAATATTTATTTATTATTTCTAACTGTGTATTTCTTTTTTTTTCTTTTTTATCCTCGGGTGAAGGACAATGCAAGGGCTCATAGACAAGTACATGAAGTCCAGCCCGGCTGCCGCTGCGGGTTCGGGTGTGGGTCTGGGTATGGCCGCGGGTTCGGGTCAGTCAGCTGACCAGTCCAAGGACCCTAATCAGGTATCTTTGGCGTGCGTTAACTTTATCGTATACATAGTGAGTTTCGCTATTTAGATGTTGAAGTAATCGAGGTTTGGAGCGTTGTATTTATACTCTACCCTCTAAGGTTTAAAGTATATGATTTGATAGTTACTAAATAGGGTTTGCTGATTTTGTATAGGGTCTAATATCATCCTCCAAAATCTCATTAATTCAAATCCAGATACCATTTTTACTATAAAAAAAACATGATATCCTAAATTTACCTTGAATACGATAGATATAATTGTATATAGAAAATTTCATTATACCCCAGATAAATTTGAGAACTAAACTACAAAATATAAAAGAATTAATTGGTGGGAATTTAGGTCAATCTGATTTGTCTTATCAAGTTTTAGACCACATGTTGAAACAATACACACACTACACAAACACAGGGAATAAAGTGAGAAAAACAAAAAGAATATGCAGCGCAATTATATACACAAAGCATGCCATATATGGTAATTGGTACACATTATGATGGAGCACATTTTATTCTTTGACCACAAATGTGAGGTTGTCTTTTCAAAAAGAATTGTATACTTGTCACATTATAATTAGGGTTCTTATGCTCTAATAAGTACTCCAGGTGCTCCTTTTATTGGTCATTTCATTACCCTCTTTGCTTTTATAAGATGCCCTAATATTATCAAAACTATCAATCATACAATTTAGAGATATCATATTATCAACAAGAAAAAAAATTATTATAAATATAGAGATATCATCTGTACTTAATTAACTAGAGAATAATATGTATGTGGTGCATCTTTTCATATAAAATGGTATTTTACTATTTTTCATTTGATTTTTTCTTTAAATGTAATAATAATGAGACGAAATATGGAAAATGGAGTAGGAAAAATATTGATAGGTAATGGTGATGCAGAATATCGATATCTGTACATCTCGCATGCAAACCGAACACTATATCATATGAATTGCATCCATGTTTCTCTCAATTTTAATTTTGGGAAATCTTGCATTCAAACCGAGCACTATAACATATGAGCTACATCTACTTTTCTGTCAATTTTTAATGAAATTTTGATTTGATTATGTGAGTATGAAAAAAAAAGTCATGGATTGTGGAGATGCGGGGTATCGATCCCCGTACCTCTCGCATGCTAAGCGAGCGCTCTACCATCTGAGCTACATCCCCTTTGTGTTATTTAAATGATTAATTTATAATCCAAAACTTTCTTCATATTTTCTGATTTTATGGGTATGTTGTTCTAGAGGTTACTTATGTACCAATAAGATACACCGATATAAAATATTTGAATTGTGTACACATATAGTGTTTTAGACAAACATTAATATTATGTATAGATATGTTCATCCACTAACATTTGTGAGCATAAGCAGGATGCCAAAGAAGAGATCACAATGCTGAAACAAGAGATCGAGACTCTTCAGAAAGGGCTCAGGTTGTTAACTATTCTGTCATTTTAGTTTTCTCCATGTTCAAATTTTATCAATGAAATTAGAGGTTATAAAATTTGTGAAGCTTATTATGAAATGTTGCGAGTTCGAGTTGTTTCTCTTTTCTGTGTACGCATTAATAAGAGAGAATTATCGTGGAAATTCAATAACACAGGTACATATTTGGAGGAGGAGCTTCAGAAATGAACTTGGAGGAGTTGCTGGTGCTGGAAAAACATCTCGAGATTTGGATTTGCCAAATTCGCTCAACAAAGGTGTCTTTCAATATTTTTGTTTTGTTTGCTCACAATTTTTTTGAATTATTCAACAACAAAAATTCTTGAAATTTTATTATATTAATTAGTTTAGCTACTAATTAATTACATTTTTCGATCCCTTAATCCCCCAGATGGAGATCTTGTTTAAAGAGATCCAACTGTTGAGGAACAAGGTTTGGATCTCCCCCTAAAACTTTGTTAATTAATATTACATTTATCATATTTTCAATTTCCATTACATTCGTCGACAATATTTTTCTTCTGTATGAAATAAATAAGTAATAATTTTGTTGACAATGTTACAGGAGGGAATCCTGAAAGCTGCAAACCAGTATTTGTTAGATAAGGTACTTACTTTACTATGTTAACTCACTGCAGCAAGTTAAAAATAATTAACTTTGAGATATTAATTGCATATTTATTTCTTAACCCCCCCTGAAACTAATTAGAGAAATTTTTTTTTTGGCAGATGGAGGAGAATGTAGAGTTTACTAACATTCAGGCAGTGATGGATAATATTCCATACCCACTAACCGTGCAGAACGAAATCTTTCAAATTTAGGGATTAGTACTGTATTTTAATCTCTCTATCTATCTAGTAACTATATTTTTCCCTCCTCATTTATGATAATAACTATATATTATAATTGGGGAGGGTTTGTTTGGTGTAATGCAAGTTTTTTATTAATCTTTCAATGTAATGAATTGTAAAGCGCAATCAGCAATGTGCGTGGTGACTTATATTCGTATGTAAGTTGTCAAATGATAATTATGTTTTTAGTATTAAGTCATGGGGCTTAAATGTATGTTACCATGACTCCGGATTTGTGTCATGCTTCATTTTCCTTTTTATAAACATAGAGATATTGTCGTATTAAGCGGAAACCTTTCAATGTGATGTATTTCGGATAAGGATATTCTTTCAATATCTACAAAAAATTATTAGGTCTCATTTCTCAAGTCAATAATCAGTTTTGAGACCATACAAAATCCCAACAAGTTCAACTTCTGTCTTCTCTCACCTTCTCAGTTAACTATGAAAGGTTTGATAAAGCGACCACATTCCCCCCTTAAGACCTTTCTTGGCGATATCCATCGTATCGAGATTATGAGAGACATTGCCATCTCCAAACCCCGCCTATATTATGCCCCAAAAGGAGTACATTGAAGGAGGGTGAAAGCTTCACCATTCAAATATCCCTTTCCGAATACTAATTTCATCTGGCCACTTTTATCTTCAAATATTTCGTCTCCGCTCGATATTTACTCTCTATTTCGAGAATGCAGATAAAATCTATAGAATGGTGAAGTTTGAGGACCAATCAGAGCAATCGCTTCCTTTCTAGGTATCCCCACGGTAGTTTTACATTCAGTTCACTAGTGAAACTGCGTCCACTGTCCAGTGCTCTGCTGGCGCAGCTCTATCCACAGAGAAAAATAATTTGTGTGGCCATGGCGATTACCGATTCCTCCTCCTTTCCCAATTCCCATCCCTCCCTTCCACCGTCTCTCTCACCATCACCACCGCTTCCCATTCTGTCCATTTCCAAGTCCCCATGGCCGCCGCCGCCGCTTCTCCCCGTCTCACCGCCCTCTTCGTCGCCCAAAACCGCTCCCTTGTCCCTCGACGCGCCACCGCGATTCTCAATCTCCGGCCGAATACTCGCCGCCGGAGACAAAACCCCTCTCTCCACTTCCCTCCTCTGCCGTCCGGCCGAGACATCTCCTGCAAGGCGACCGAGGTCTCGCTGAGCGATGAGTCCCCATCTCCGTCGTCCGGCGGCGGCGGCGGCAACTGGGTTCCGGTGGTGCCGCTGGCGGCGCTGCCGAAGGGGGAGCGGCGCGTGATTATTCAAGAAGGGGAGACGATTCTCTTGCTTTGGTATAAGGATCAAGTGTTTGCCATTGAGAATCGGTCTCCTGCTGAGGGAGCTTACAGCGAAGGGCTCATCAACGCCAAGCTCACCCAGGTAAAAATTTGATTCCAATGATTCCAATTCGGAATTCGGTTCCATTGGGGGGTTAGTTCTAGCTTTCCCACAGGCCAATTTGTATGCCGGAAGCAGGGGAAATGGATCTCTTATTGCTGGTTCTTGAAGGAGATGGAATGTGTAGCTTAAGTAGCAGATTTTATCTGCTTATTGTGTCATTAGTGAACAGAGAAACAGAGTTAACAGAAAGTTTAAGAGTGTGGAAAACTCTGCCTCCACCATCTGTGGGATTGTAGAAGTTGCCAGTGCTGCTCATTTCAATTAGAATGTGTTTCTTATCGAAGTGGGTTCGACTGAATTGATCGTGCATTCTAGGGTATGTTACAATGAATGATTTTTGGTTAGCATGAAAAGTTTTCACCTTTGACATTGGTTTCTGGCATTCCTGTCCATTAAGCCAATGTTTGGATTCTCGGATGGTGTATAGGTGTCAATTAGAAGCTGGAAAATTGTGTAGCTGTTAAGGCTGGCTTGTTTGAGTGGCTATGACGACTTAGGTTGAAGGAATCAAGAGTGTAACTTAGATAGTACATTGCTAGTTTGCTGTTTTATAAATAGCGTTCATGGAGAAGGAAAATTGGAATCAGTGAATAAAGTGAGTCACTAACTCGTGTAGAAAGTGTGAAGCTTTTCCCCCCATAAACTTCGAATTGCAGTTGGAACTGAATAAGTTGCGAAAATGAAACCCTTCGTATCTACAATTCTCAAGTTTTTCTTCGAATGAGTTATCTCTTGAAGTGGGCTCGATGCTCATTGCATTCTCTTGTGTGCCTCTGCTTCATTATGATTGATCACTTTTGGTACTCTAAGCATGAAAAAGTTTTCACATTTGCTGTTGGTTTTTGGCTTTTCCTCAGGATGGTTGTATAGTTTGCCCCACAACGGATAGCACGTTCGATCTTCGAACTGGAGAGATCAAAGAATGGTATCCAAACAACCCTGTGCTGAGAGTCCTCACACCTGCTCTCAGATCACTCTATGTATACCCTCTTAAAACGGACGAACAGAACATCTACTTAGGGATGAGCGGAGGTGCACCGTCAGATGCATCTGCTGAGATCGTATTCAGTGGGACAGCTCAACCCGGTTTCACATCAAGTGATGTCAATGTCGAGGAGGTATCTGCCAATTGTCAAACTATACGTTTATCTTTGCTCGAGTCATGTCACATGATCACAGTTAAACGTAGTTAGTTAGTTAGTGAATCACATTTCACACTTACAAACATGCATTTTGCTTTAAGGGTGTCTTTGGTTCAGCATAGCTGCAAATGTATTGATTAGTGACATATGATCTGGTTTCTATTGCATAGGTGAGGATGGTGGTCGACGATGAGGTGGGAGGGTTCGGTTTCACGAGCAGGAACGAGTCGATAAACGGGAAAGCAGCCGTGATAGGGTTCTTGCTGCTGTTGGATTTCGAGCTCTTGACGGGTGAGGGGCTACTCAAAGGTACAGGGTTCTTGGACTTCATATACTCTGTCTCCAACGCTCTCAACTAGAAGAGAGCCCATCCCCCTTGATCGGTTGGGAGTTTTCTGGTTGTGGAGACGACTGCTCCCGGGACTTAGTACTCTGAGATTCATTCAAAGGAATTCGTCGATGCAGAATTGCAGACTTTACCTATGTTTCTGGATTTTTGTTGACCATCTATAATATTGCTGTATAGTATCTGATTAGCAAGTACAGTACACCAGCTACAGTTCATGCAAGATCCAAAGGAAACGACGACAGACCTGCGCATAGCTTCTATAACTTTGAGCTATTGAATTGAAGGTAAACTATTTCTTCACATACATTATGCATTACCATTACAAAACGTGCCACTGAAAAGGTAGGAGAGAGCAGAAGAGAACAGCCAAGAAAGTAAAACGATCGAACAAGTGTTTCTGTGTGTTTATATATATGAGAAGCTGAAGTAGTTGTTCATCAGCTACTGGTTTTGGTCTTTCATGGCCAGCTTCTGCATTTGGAGCTTACTCGGCAGCTTGACGTCATAAGCCAACCCCATGGCTTGAAGTAACCTCACTGCGTACCAAGTCATGTCGATCTGCCACCACTCCAGCCCTTGCCTTGCCGAGTACTTGAACGCATGGTGATTGTTGTGCCAACCTTCTCCAAATGTCAAAACTGCCACCCACCTGGTTCAAACACAAGTAGTAGTTACCAACTGTCAGTTAATAAGATGATCGATAATGTCATTTTGCGTGTACAATCATCTTAATTCAAATAGACCTATTTGAGTTGGACTTAAATGAGTTGAGTCCAATTGGGTCATATTACCCCAAGAGTCGACTGATCTAATCATTCCTAACTTCAACCGGACCCACCAAACTAGTTTGTTTGGTGTATCTTTTTTCATGAAAACCCACAACCGTGAACAGGACGATGATAATTAAGTAATTTACCAGTTGTTTCTCGACAAGTCGTCGGTGTTCCAAACTCGAGATCCCCATATGTGAGCGGCTGAGTTGACAAACCACGTAGCGTGGTAAACCCCCACTACCCTCACGCCCTGATGGAACAATGGCAACGGTTTAACATTTGATGATAAACGAAGACATCATCTACTATCGTATCATCAATTCGAACCTCGAGATCAACAATCGTTAAAAGAAACACAATTAAAGGGGGAGCTATAGCCTTACAATTCCCCAGACGATGTAGGGCAGTCCACCAAGGGCATACAAGATAAGGGCAAGTCCCAGTGGGTGGAAGACGTAAGTCCTACGAAGCCACCTGTAGAAGGCCTGGCTTTTCATGTCCCCAACGTTGTCTCGTTTCCCACACTGCAAATCCCATTTCTTTATACATTAATTACACAATTAAGTAGTGTTATTAAGTATCCTAAACAACGTTTTTGAAGTACTATTACCTTCTCTCTAACCATGGCTGAATCGAAGATCCAGCTCATATGACTGTGCCAAAACCCTTCAATGGGGCTGTGTGGATCTCTCTCTGTGTCAGTGTATTGATGGTGAAACCTGTGGTTGCTCACCCACGTTAATGGATCCCCCTGCAAAAACACAACATTCACTCACTAAAGTTTAAATCTAACATTATAGAAAAATGTTCGGTTTACGGTCCGCGGCGGAGCCACCTCTTGTCAAGGCGTGGGTCAGTTCAACGAAAAAGATATTTGAGTGTTTCGAGTAGGATTCAAATTCATAATGTTATTTTATTATCAAGTAGCGTATGTATCGAAGAATTACAACTAATTTTTCAGATTTACGTTACTACTTTTACGCTTTTTTTTATAGGTACATTGACTTCTAAAATTAGTATTTGTTGTTACAACAACCAATCGATGAACAAAAGTTTTGAAAAGAACATTTTCCACAATGAAGCGCTTGATGATCAATCAAACACACTAGGATATCGAATGAGTAATAAGCCATGGATACGTAAATGCATTTTCAGGATGTTTTAGAATCTGAAAAACAAATCGTAGTAAAATCTTAGCAGACGCCATTGTTTATGATACAAGAATCCAAGGATTGTAAAAAGAACCTTACAAAACTCGTGTCTTACCACCCCTGATACGAATCACACCACCAACTAACGACATATGATCAGAAGGAATTTGACGCGAAGTTTAGAGAAACGGACAAAATGAGATTCGAGATCTGATACGAATCATACCACCTCACCCTGTAATGATATGTTCATATCAGAGGATGGCATGATTCGTATCAGAAGTGGTAAGACGTGAAGTTTAGAGATCGAAGACTGAGATTCGAGATCGAGAAATGAGAGTTGAGCAGGAAAAAAAAACCTGAAGGGCATGGGCGCCGATGTAAGCGAACAAGTACTCGAGCCATTTGGGGAGGAGCTTGAAGCTCTGGTGGGCCAGATTCCGATGGTACGAGAAACAAATCCCAAACAGCCCCGTCACCACGTACAGCGCCGCCGCCAGCCAAAACGCGCCCCAGCTGAAGCAAAACGGCGCGCACATTGCCATCAGATGGGTCCCGGCCACGGCGCCCACCGCGATTCTGTCGTACGCGTTCAGCTTCCTCGCCCTCCCTCGCGGCCGCTGCCCCTCGCCTTCGTCGCTAATGCTCTTTTTCTCCGTCGCCAAAAATGACACATCCGGTGGCGAAAACGTGGGTTTCGTCGCCGTTGCCCTCTTCCCGTCGCTAATGGTGGTGCTCTTCAGCTGCGGCTCGACCATCACTGCCGCTTCTCCCACTGCCATTTTTGTGTTGTTTTTTTTGGTTTCTCTTTTTGGTTGTGTAGTGGTGAAGGAATGATGGGTTTTCAATGATCAAAGCAATGCTTGTATAGAAGAGAGAGACCTTATGTATTGAATATTGGGGGCCGTTGAGATGTGTGGATGGATGAGGAGTGTTTTATTGATATGTTTATGGGCATGTTGTAAAACTATTAATTAATTAAGGTGGTAGTGGTAGAAAATATTCAACTTATGGACTATGGGATTCCTTTTTTTGTTTGTTAAGGCTGGAATATGGGGTGATTTTGTTGACAATGCTATATAAAATCAAAATAAAATATTTTTTTTTATATTCGATGAGTGACATTCCCAAGTTCGTTAAGATATTTTTCGCTTGCGAAATGTTGTGTTCACGAATTGTACGTAAGTGAGTGGAGTACTCATTCAATTTTGTGCTGAAACAGAAGTGTGACAATATAGTGTGCATTGTGCAGTTTGATCGGCGAAGGAGGAGGAGGAGGAGCCGAGGAGGTATGATACGAATATGTGATGCAAATGCGGTCAAACAAGAAAGAGTGTGATGATGTACTTGTAGAATTTGTAGATTTGGGGAGACAAGAAGTATGTGAATATTTACAGAAAGAAATTTTGTGCGATTCGATTTCCTTCACGCTAAAGAAACCTTCACATGCACCAATCATATCATAGGGGCCGAATATGCGTTAGTATAGGATATAATGACACTATTGGATCGCATAGTCGAACAATCCCGCGGTCGTTAAATGCGTGCACATAATATCATTTTAGTATGCATCTGATAATCGAGATCATCGCGCCGCACGATCCGAGAAGGTGAACTTGTAGTCTTGTACTAACCCCTAGCAAAATTAAAATTCATTTTACACTAGATAGCTATGGAAGTGCACTCATCAAATTAACAAAATGAATGGTATTGAGGTTTCGGACTTTTGGTCTAATTATTCCTCATGATTTTCCTTTAACTAAAAGACACAAGGTGCAAATTGGAGAGAGAGTGGCCGGCCTTTATTTATTGTAATTAATTTGGGTATCCGTAATGATTCATCAAATAAAGTTATTAATAGATCTAATCACGGATCTGTGGAAAAAAGAGAGGTTGGTCACCTTTTTTAATATAAAAGTGGGCAATCACCAAAAGATCTCTGCCAAGATATATTTTGTGACCAAGGACAATTGATCTCTCCAAAATTTTGGGTTAATAACGGAAATTATAAGACTTTATGTTATCATAATATCGCCCACAGTTCTCAAAAACCAGAAACCATGTGCTCCACTGCAAAGTACAAACTTAACCAACTCCTATTAAGTTTAAGTTTAAATATTTGAGGGTTATTAAGAAGGGTGACTCACCCTATACTTAATAAGAAACCAAATGGGATTCTCTAATGAATTTGGTTATAAGAAATATTCTAAAATTTGTTACACAATTTGAGCCTTTAATTATGGAGAAGTCTTGTTCAAATTCTCATAACTCTTAATAGAAGAAGCGATCTCTTATTTTTCGTCGACGACTTGACTCGAATCTTGAGTGTTTCTTCCTTCACTTCAGCTCAACGAGACAGGTGATACATGACACAACCCATTACAATGCCTATTTTCATTTCCCCTGCAGGAGTTTGTTATTTTTCATTTTTCGTCACTGATACGAGTCTTTTTTCTCCTGTTGTTAAATTGATGTATACATTTGTTAATTGACATGACGCTGATGTGTCAAACACGCGGACAACGATTAGTTTACGTGTAATTTTGTTAAGCCTAACGTTAATTTTTACAGAAAATTACTATAATAATGTAGCGTTATGAAATGTTTGGCTCATATACTTCGTATTCTCAAAGGTTTTGGTTAATATTTTAGAATTCGTGAAAGTTTTGACTAAAAAATAGTATTCACCCAATAAAAAATTATTCTTTTTGAATGTCGTGTCACTATATTCCTTCTATCTCAACATCACATCCGCCAGCTCATGGTCATCTAACGGAAATATTAACAAAGACTTAACAATTGGCTAATATTTCATATTTTATAGATTTGGCTAATATTTTAGGATCCGTGAGGTGAAAAATTTAGCTAAACAATAGCCTTTACCCTTCTTGTTTCTTGAACGAATAGGAAGTTCCTTCGTGACATGAAGATCGAACTGCCATTCTCTCAACAGTCCCCGTAGTAAAAATGGTCGTATAGCTAGCCAGCTAGGTCATCAGTTCGATCCACGACTTCTTCTTGTTCTTGAGCCGTGAAGAGACTAAGTTAACCAGGCCATGTCGGCGAACTTGCTTCGTTGATATAAATATATGGGATGTATCCATTAATAGCATCGGTGAGGATGGGATGCTGACTACTGACACTAGCATGGTCTCTGTTTTACTTTCCCATTATGGGGAAAAATCACAGAACAGAAAGGACATCATTACATGTCTTTTCAATGTTTACAGCACTATAATCAACCCAAAAAATGTACGCGCAAACTTTGTCACAAACCCTCAAACCGAAAGCTAATTTGTGGGGCTTGAAGTCTTGCACAAGTTTGACATATCATGTGCTTATGATAACGGTTATCTTGGGAGTCGTGAGGATTTGAACACGTGACATAAATCAGCTAGTTCCAATTGTTAGAATTACACTTAACATATGTAATTCCTTAGAAAATTCATCTTTTCATATATCAAAGGTTTTTCGGAATACCTGAAGCCATGTTGTTGATCACCAAGTGCTTGATGCGGAATATGGAAGACGATCTGGAACTGGACGATACTCCTAGAGCACGATCCAGGAGGTAGCGTGATCTTCCTCAACCAAGCCTCCTTAGTCCACTAACGGGAAACCTCTAATCTTCCCAATGGGAAGAAGAAGAGAGTTGTGTTGGTCTTGGTGTATTGGGGACCACAACCTCAAGTTTCTTTATATATATATACTAGTCACCATGGGCTCCCATAAGACCCAAGGTGAGCAAGTATTGGGTTTCCAACCATTGGAACCATACTGGTCTTGAGTAATCACAGGCTCCATGTATTGACCTTAGCCCATCAAAACCAAATAGCTAATATATGTGTTGTGAATTTGCTAGCCCACTTAAGGTAGAAAGTTGAATTTCTATCGCCAATAATTCGAGTTGTTGGGACTTAAAAAAGAGGTTTAACCATTACTAAATTCATTCAATTGGGTGGTGGGGGGGAAAAAGAACCCACATGAACTACTGGCAGGTTTATTTTTGGCATGATGATGATCAATAAACTTCAGTTATTAGGGTTGCAGTGTGTGGTCCATGAAGTTGCATGCATGCCCTTGATGGAAATCTTAGGAGGAGGGGCCTGGCGGTTGTGTTCTCTCTTCTCTTCAAGACCGATCGCTGTCATAATTGGTGGCGTAGCAACCAACATTGATCGGCTCTCAATATCCTCCTAGAGAAAGGATTTTAAAGCGTAGTTGAAACAGTTGATGAGAGGACATTGATTGCGTCGTAACGGAGTTACGTCGAATTTTTTGTTCTCCTTGATCGTCACTGTATATAGTTCGAGGGTAATAGTAAGTAGATGTATTTGTTGTGGTTTCAGAAGTTTCGGCCAAAAAAGTTATATATTTCTCGAATTCCTAATGGTAAGGGTACAAGTATCACATCGGAGATATACAAGGGAAACGACCCTTATATATTAATGTTCACCTAGCCTACTTAGTTCGAGATTATTTTGTGGAGGATGACCAAAAGTAAATATATATGTGGGTTTGGCCCAAAACGGACATCGGCTTGTATATTAGTGTTCACCTAATCTAATTAGTATGAAACTTTTGGGGAGGATACTAAAAAATAAATTAGCAGACAATATCGTACTAATTAATTGAGCTACCGGCCGATTTCAACAAGTCCGCCAAACAGACGTGGATGTCTAATGGATCTCGACAAGCTCCACAAATCAAAAAACTAACCAAAACTCTTATACCACTTTGTCGAAATCATGTAGCTCAATTTGTACAATATTGTTCACTTTGACCAAAGTTCACACGAATTTACCTTTTAGATATCCTTCAGAAAGACCTCGTACTAATAAATTTGATGGACACTAGTGATGGCAATGGGCGGGTAAAACCCGGGCGGGTACGCGGGGGGGGGGGGGGGGGGGGGGGGGGGGCCGACCCACTCTTACATGTTACTTGAAGATAACGCACACAAATTTTACTTTTTACAATAAAACGAAGGGGAAAACACTTTATGAATGAAAAATATTGATAATAGAAGGGGAAATTGAGTCTTACCAGTTGAAAAATCGACTCCAACTAGTTAGAAAAAAGTTAAAATAGATATTGTAAAAAATTGAGGTAGAATGGGCCAAAAACAGGACGAGGCAGGACGGGTCGGAAATAGATATCCATGCCCCGCTCCATGCTACTGCAGGTCGAGTAATACCAGCACCATCACGGGTCAGATCGGATAATATCCGCGGGACGCGTTCAAATTGCCATCATCACTATTGGACACTGATATCCAATGCATTCCCTTAAATTGTCTCATAATACTACTCATTTCCTGATTTCCAATAATGCATGCATATGAGCAATCCTTAAGTATCAACTAGAATAACACACAAACCATTGGACCGCACTAATAGTCTAAAATCACTGATTACAAGACACAAATTATCAAAACCAAACGGGTTCTCGACCAGGGCAAGCTTTTCTTCGTAGTAATTAAAAACAACCAGCTTGCTAGGTAGTCAGCTACTCCCGACATTGTTACCATCCAACATTAACTCTTTTTTTGTTTTGTTTAATTACAGCAATGGGAAAACGAGCTGCCGCTTCAAAGCTCTGTTTTTCCCCATGTCAAACAGAGTATTCATTGTGGAGGTATGGCACAGACGTAGCTAGTTAGCTAGCTGCTTGTGGGCAGTGAATTTAACGTGGCTGCATGGTCCAAAATCGATCGACTTTTGCCTTCAAAGATGTGTATGTATGTATGGTTTGGCAGCTGGCCCTCTCCTGCCAGGAATTTAATTTTACTGCAGTCTGATGAGAGAAGGAGTCGTCGTCGGGAGCGTTGGGGCAT